TGTTACAGGTGGTTTGGGTAGATGGTGGTTTGGTTAGACATGTTACAGGTGGTTTGGTTAGATGGTGTTACAGGTGGTTTGGTTAGACATGTTACAGGTGGTTTGGTTAGATGGTGTTACAGGTTGTTTGGTTAGACATGTTACAGGTGGTTTGGTTCGACGTGTTACAGGTGGTTTGGTTAGATGATGGTTTGGTTAGACGTGTTACAGGTGGTCTGGTTAGATGGTGTTACAGGTGGTTTGGATAGAGGTGTGACAGGTGGTTTGGTTAGATGGTGGTTTGGTTAGATGGTGTACCAGGTGGTTTGGGTAGATGGTGTTACAGGTGGTCTGGTTAGATGGTGTTACAGGTGGTTTGGTTAGATGGTGTTACAGGTGGTCTGGTTGGATGGTGTTACAGGTGGCTTGGTTAGATGGTGTTTCATTACCCGACTGCGTAGACGGTGGTCAGCTTGCGGTTGGGGTTCTGCAGTCGCAGCAGCTGCTCGGCGTACTGATAGGTGAGCAGACTGGGTTTTCCCAGCAGTGCCTCATAGCGCAGCTCTCGGCCTGTCAGCTTCCTATAGACCGACTCCAGACACAACAGGAACATCCCATGACCAAACCTACAACAACATGGCAGGAACATCCCATGATCAAAGTGCAATCCAACAGGAACATCCCATGACCAAACTGAATATGAAGCTCTGCCCTCAATCTGAGAGGAGGGGTTTGGTTGTTACCGTGGTGATGGCGCTTCAGCCATCCACAGCAGGTCCATGTTGCAGGCGAGAATGGGGAGCTGGTTCGACAGCTGGGCGTCGTGCACGCAGCTAGGCCTCCCATTGGTCAGAAGCACATCAATCAGCAGCTGGAGATTGGTCTCCCATTTGATTGGCTCCCCAAACAGGATGATTGCTATGGCAACACAGGAATTATAAGCAGCTTCAGTCAAACTTTATTGACACTGGGTCTGAGGATGCTGACACAGAAAATCAGCTGTTAGTTTTAATGGAAATTATGAATTATAAATGTAAACTGACCAATCAGAACAGAAATCCACCAACACAGACTGGTTGTGTGTGCATTTCGTGTTGATTGTGTGTATGTTACAGATGGGTAATGTGTTTGTTGTGTACAAGTTGTATGTAGGTTGTGTGTTTATTGTGTGTGTTGTGGGTTGGTGTTCTTGTGTTGGAAGTGTATAGGTTGTGTTACCTTGTATCTGGGGCAGACTCTGCACAGGTGACGACTGAAACAAACAGTATAAATACAAAAAGTAAGTGTTATAAGAAACTCCTGAACGTCGATATATGATTTATTGATGCCTTTGATCAGGTATCACAGGTGTGTTCTCACAAGTGTAGTATTCACAAATATGATGCCAACAGGTGCAGTACTAACAGGTACAGTAATCGCAATACTTACAGGTGATGTAGGCTTCCTGCAGTGATCCACCATGTCCAGCAGGGGGTGCTGTTGTGCAAGCTGCTCGATGCTCAGCACTTTCTGGAAACCCAAACTGACAGCAATTAAGGATCCAACTCTAACAGAACTCACTGCTGTGAACAAGAGTCTGCACAGCTTTTGCCAAATTTGGGAGGAGTTCAACTGTGACTTGAATCCATCTGATTGGAGGCTCAAACTATATTATCAGTCAATTCAGGACCACTTTCCTCTTACTGTTTGAACCTAGTCTAAAACCAGTCTACAGACAGTCCAAAACCAAATGAAAATCTGACTAAAACCAGTCCGTCTGTCAAGGATACGCGTTAGCGATGTTGGTTGTAGGTCCCTGTCCACACACCAGGACACACCTGTCATGGAAACTCTTCATCATTTGCAAAGGACTGTGGGAAAGAACCACCTGCTCAGGGGCAATCTACAGAGAAACCAAGAGCAAAGAGGTCACATGATTGTGTTGGTTCAATGAAATGCTCCACAAAGACACAAATATGACACCAAAGTGAAATACACTGTCCATCTGTCCTACCTGGACATCCAGTAGGTGAGACAGCTGCTCCGCCTTGTCCCACCTCTGACAGCTTCCTGCATTGGTGACGAAGACAACAGGAAAGAGGAAGTTGTTGTTTTGATCCAGAAGTTTCCTGAGAGCCCGACGAGCTCCTGGAAGGACAGAACGTCCACGGAGAAGGACACCGTCCACATCGAAGAGGACCCCTGCCTGATAGGAAGAGAGACAGGAGACAGGTTAGAGACAGACAGACAGGTTTAGTTCTCTCTGAAACAGTTCTGAGGACAGCTCCAGGTGTTTCTGTTTGTCTTCATGTCTTTAAATGCCCAGGTAAGAAATATCTTTATCATCAG